CCCTCGCAGCCGCCAGTTGTGTACGTTCTCTCTGATGTCTGCGAAGGAGGCTAGGGAATTTGTCAAATTTGACCAATCAACTTGACAACTTGTAGGATTTGTTGTACTATTTATTCACTTGCGCAAAAATACTAATGACAGTATTGTTCATCTTTGCATAATAGTTTACACCGGTTTAGCGCCTGCCTAAAGAGGCTGTGTTTACAATGTATTTTGTCTGTGTCAGTTTTAGCTTTTAATAAATGTATTCAGCCATAGTGAACACGAAAACTTTCATAGTCATCATACTTTATAAAATACGAATGTATGATACATTATTATATAATTGGTATAGTACTGATTACTTTATGATAATCTATAGTAATTAGTATTACTTTATGTATATATTTATTATTGTCTCACTCATATATGGCTCTTTTGCGTACGTTATGCGGCTGAGCATTAATCTTTATACTACGATTGCGATTCCCGCCTGGTTCATCACTTGCAAGTGGTAGTATTACTGAGTAAACGTGGCAAATAGTTGCTAGACTACCTGAAGCACATAGATTTTTGCCTTCTCACACACAACTGAGTAGGTCTTAAAAAGTGTGTAAATTTCCGTTAGTCGAATATTCCTGTCCATCTACTAACACTTATTAATAATAACTGAAGCACTTAGTCTTATAGTGATATGGATAGCTAACTAGAATGTGTTTCAAAAATAAGTAACATTAACAAAACGTTACTGTGTAACGGAGTAAACAATTACACAACACAGTACTAGTATAAACTATTATGCAAAGATGAACAGTCACAATACTCAATACTCAATACTCAATAGGCGCGATAATAATCACTTGTATAGTTAATATTTTGTATTTGCCGAGACACTTTTGTCACAATTGTTTCTGACAATTAATCTATTATCTATATGATAAAGAAGAAGTTCTGCAGTATACACTGTACTATGCATACTATAAATACAAATATTATATAAAATTCAAATATTAAATCCCAAAATATTGGATAATCCTGCTGTCCTACAGGCTATATCCGTATGAAATTGCACTGTTGGTATGCCTGTATAACTGATACTAGAGATTTTTTACCTTGTATATTATTATATCATGCATGTGCATGCAGTGTAGCACGCTTTTCAGCAGCAAATTTTCGTTCTCTGTTTAGATTTTAATATAATTATACGAAAATCTAAAAAAATAATATAATTTCAAAATCGAAAGTCCAAAGTCCAAAGTCCAAAGTCCAAAGTCCATAGTCCAAAGTCCAAAGTCCAGTCCAAAGTCCAGTCCAGTGTTTACAATATGCCATAGCATAACTCGTTTTTTACCCTGCTGCGAGCAAACGAACGACCTTCTATCGACCATGCGCGAAGATCACGTGATGGGAAGTCACTAATTTGATTTCACTTCCTGTAGTCCGTTATCTGTAAACAAGCGTGGTATAGTACTGTTTCATCTGTGGTTTTATTTGTTGTTTGTCAGTTTTAATCCAACGACTTTTTAATTCTACATGCAGTTCACAATTTATGTATTGGTTTTAATCTCGTTATTGCCAGCACTAAAATATTTTGAAATTGGTGCTTCACCGTACAGCAAAGTACAAATTGTGCATTTGAATTTCTGTTATATCTTTTAAAATTTTTGTATTTATCCGACAATATCAATTTTTTTAATTCGGTTTATGAACTTTATTTGTATTACTTAAACGTCTTGACGTTAGAGATTGTGTTAAGGTTTTCAATAAATTCCAATTCCCAAAGTTTCCAAATAATATAATGTTTCCAATTACTGTTGATTTTGACAATTATTGCAATTTTTGATTTTCGCGACTCGCGACCTCAACCGCCACACATTTCACTAACCCATCAAAGATCGTCGCGACGGCGCCAAAATTTCTGCAAAGGTTGATTTTTGTTGCAGCGTGGAGTTTATAGTTATTCTGTTGAACGCTATGCGGTTTTCAAGTCATCTTAATGTATAATTTCTCACATTTTATTCAATATTTTGTAAAGTTATAATATTTTGTAGTATATTTATAGCGCGTGTTACTATATTTAGAGCGTGATGTTTTCAAGTGTACAACTGGCTCACATTTTAGCAGCAGTGCCAAGCATTGACCCATGCGCACAACAACAAAAACTTGTCAAACTTGTTTTACCGGTTGAGAATTTAATGTATTCGTCCGTGAATCTGGACGGCGGCTACATGAAACGATCGTTCGTTTGCTCGCAGTGGTTTCTCCTCAGCTGAGAAACCACTTCCAGCAGGGTAC